TCTTATAAAATTATATGCACAGACAACTAGTAGGTGAGGATGTGGATGTGTGCGTATTGTGTCTGTGATATCCACAGTCACACCCACACCCTCGAGATGCATTTATTTACATAGCATTTGAATAATCAGTTCTGCCAAAAAGTAGTCATTTATGTTATATAATCGATACAAAGGATATGAAAATAGATAAATTTTCGTTTTTAGACTAGTGGTGTAACCAGAAATTTAAGAATGATGGGGCGCAGCCCCAAAACCAGAGATGGGCAGCTCAATTCGAAAAATGACGAACTCAGTTTAACTCAATTCCATTCATTAACCTAGTTGAATTGAATTGAGTTGCGTTGAGAATTGTTTTAAGATGACTGAATTTGGATTGAATTGAGTTGGAAAAAATATACATAATCAATGAATTGAGTTGTATGGAATTTTTACTACGACTGAATTGAATTGAATTGTGGAAAATTTTTGGTGGACGCGAATTGAGTTGAATTGAATTGAAATTTTGTTTTCGCGAATTAAACTGAATTCATTCCTTTTTTTTCGCTGAGTTGTCCAGGTCTGCCTAAAACTGTCTAGTCTTTTGGAGTTTTTGATTGACAAGTTCAGTAAAAAAAAATTTCGAGGGATGGGGCTAAGCCCCATCTGGCCCTAGTGTAGTTACGCCACTATTCTAGACCCTGTCCTTACAGTGTAGAGAACAACTCAAACAGAGTATTGATTTTCGACATGTAATCGATTGCTGAAAAGTATAAGTTGATGTCAACAGACTGAACTTATCTTTGTTTAAAAGATAGGTCAGTCTGCTTTCAATTAGTTTATACATTAATAACACCAATCACAAAAAAATAAATGCAGATACAAAATGTGTAGAGTCTGTTTCCTCAGTGAAAGTACAATGGATAAGAATACAGCTTTGAGTTCGTTCATAAAAGTTTATCAGCACATTCGTACATGTTTTATTGCTGAATTTTAAAGTCGCACTGTGATAACTTCTTCTTCTGCATCAGCATTAACTTTTCCAATTACCAATTGAGCAAGAAGAGATCGGAGTGGATGTTGAGCATTCAATGTTCGACCTAGTGTATTGATTGCCTGTTCTTTACATCCGTTTGCAGTTTCAGTGTTGCCTTGAAGATCATGACACGTGGCAATGTTGTGAAGTGTTCTGGCTATATCTGGGTGATCACTTGGTAAAGACGCTTGTTGCAGAACAAGAGCTTCTTGATAATGGATAAGCGCAATTTCATGTTCCTTACGTTTTAAGTGTACATTACCAATATTGACTAACAGTAGAGCCAGATTTGGATGTCCAGAAGGTAAGACAACTTCGTAAATCTTCTTCGCCTTTCGATACTTATCCAGTGCTCGATCATACTATAAATAATCGTATTTAATTATCTTACAAGATTTACGTACACTGATACGTTTTTTATTTCTTCAAATATTCGTACAATAGATTTTTTCTATTTATTCTACTCAACTAACAATACTACTTTGCAGTCAATCATATGATAAATCTTCTAATAAGAAGAACGGGTTCCATTGATAGAAATCAACTCATATTTTCGTAAGAGTATACTTACATAAATTGTGGTTTTAATTTAAACGTTAGTCATACGATATCGATGGTAAACTGCAGGTTTCCACCGGTATTTTCAGTAATTGCCTATTCTAGTTGTAAGCCACAGTAGAGTCTGTTTTTATGCTCAGATTGGGAATATCTAATGCAAAAAATTCATAATATTTTCAGAATTCAGTAGCTTAATCTCATGTTGTCGTTTTTGCAGTACATCGATTGAAAAGTAAAAAATCAAGCAGAGTAACGGCGATTGTTGACCGCTTATAACGACATGGGCTACTTTATCCTCGTTATGACTTCTTCTTTTATATTCTTTCAGAACTGCTTTGTTATTTTAGATAATATTCTCACAAAAAAAAATCAACTTTTCATAGAGGAAATTTTTCTTACTTCATTTTGATCAAAATCAATCGTGCCCAAGTTAACGAGTATTCCAGCATAGTCCACATTCTTCTTTGGAATACTCTTTTTGTACAATGTTAAAGCACGCTCGAAGCATTGCTTGGCTTGTAGCTGATCACCCTGTTCAGAATGTGCAATACCCAGACTGTTGAGTGTTTTGGCTGCACTGGCAAGTCGTCGAGGTTTAGTATCCATATGTAAATTGTACGCACGTGTATAAAAATCAACTGCTCGTGTAAACTCACCGTTGAGTCGGTGAGTACGTCCAAAATTGAAATAGATGCATGCAACTTCTTCATCGTTAGGATTCGATGAGCTAAGAATAGTGTCAAAATATTTTTCAGCTTTTGTATAATTACCCATTTCGAGAAGTAAATGACCAAACAAAAGAACAATATTTGCATCAACCATTTTTTTCTTTTGATATTCTATGTATTCAAATGCTAAATCGGCACCTTTATCAGTTGCTTGTACAGTAACACGATACAAATTTTCTGCCTCATCATACGTACAAGAGTCAATCTGAAATGATGCACCTACAAGAAATACGTTTATATTAATTATAGTGGACAATGTATATAAAAAAAATTCTTTAAACCAAATCATGAGCTTAAACTAGACAGATTTTTCTCACGGCGTATTGATGATTTTTGTATTGCTTTTTTAATACCAAAGTAATCGTTGACTAGAACTTTCTTCCGCTAACTTCACGGTTCACTTTCTAGAGACGGCGCATCTTTAGGAAAAACAAACAGCTCTCAGGGACAAAAAGAAAAAAACATTATAGTTAAACTAGTAAAGATCAGGCTACGCCACTAGTTGTTGAGATTCACTGTTACAGTAATACATAGTATTGCATCAATAAAAGTCGAATTCGAATGAAAGAACTTGGATGGATTCCTTGATTAATTTCATCATTTCTATAAGGATATATTCCAATTTTGTCGTTATTTTACAATAAGCTTATTTTTAATACGTGTTAGAAGACTTACCGATGTCGACAAGAACTTCAGCTTCCTCTGGAAAAGCCGAAAACTCAGAAATATCAGCAATAACTATTTTTTTGACAACATTCAAATCGACTTGATATTCGAATATAGCTTTGACTAACCCTTCTCGTTTAGCACCTTTTGTAGCAAACCCATGAGCAACAGAATAATCACTACTTGTGGATAAATATCCATTCGTTGAAATTAAGTTTCCAGTACTCTGTTGAAAATTGTCCACTTCCTCACGACTGATATTGAGACCACGATAGAGTTTGATTAAGTTAGGTTGCGTTTTTTTGAGTTGCTCAAATTTAAGTTCCAGTTGGTCACTTAAATCCATAATATAGAAACGAAATTGATATAAGACATCAACATCTTCTGTCCGAAGTGCTTTGTTAATGAATCTTAAGAGAGAAAGGATATGTTTTAAACTTCGATGATATTTTATTTTATTTAAAGAGACTTACTTGTAAACAAAAGATTCCCTTGTATACCATTCGATAGCATCTTCTGATTGATAAGTAAGATCAAACTCTTCAATGTTAGCCAATTCTTTGATATTTCCTCGATAAAATGTCCGACAAATCGAAACCATGGTACTTTTAGCTTCAGCCGTTTTAGGCATATTTTTAAGAACATTTTTGAATAATTGAAAGAATAAAAATGAACCAGACTCTTTGGCTAGATCTCGTGTTGCCTTGTCTTTCTGATTATAAATGCTAAAAGCAGCGGCTTGTTTGTCGATTTCTTCACGTGATTTAATGATCGTATTTCGAAGAGATTCTTGATTTTCACACCAATTAACTACACGACTACGTTGCGCTTGTTGATCTGCAGCAGCCGATTCTGCTAATGATGAATATACAATTAGCGAATCAACTTGACTTTGCCCTTCCAGTGAATTGATGAAGTCATCGGTGGGTGCTACATCCACGATAATGAATATTTTCTTGTCTGTTACAGATTTGATAAAATCAAAGCAACTTTCTTCCGTATGAAAGATCTTAAAAATAGAGACTAAGATTGTAAAATCATTCTTAGAAATACAACAGAATGACTCCATATAGAAACATTTTGTTACTATATTCGTATTTACTTATGTAGTTTTCTCTGGATTTATTAGTAGTCAAGGTTTAAAATGCAGTAATTCAATTTTTATTTTTGAAAACTGTTCTGTGTTGCCTTCGTTTATTATAGAAATAGAACTAGAACTGAAGCTATTAAAATTTATTAAACCCGATCATGCCGCCCTAATAACTCTTTTCAAATAAAATTTCAGATATTTAGTAGCGAGTTTCCACAACAAATAATGAGCTGACTTACCTCGGCATTATTTTGAGCTATTGTATTTACAACTGATAGAACGACGTCGTGTGGAGGATCACTTGCAAGGTAAACAATTTTAACATCATCGTCACTATCGATACTAAATTCTTTATTTCTTTGTTCACGAGCTTGTGCTCTACGAGCTGTTCTTGCAGCCGTAGCTGCTGGATTTACCACCACAGGATTTCTAACTTTCGGCGTAAACAATTTGCGAAACGGCATTTTAGTATAATCGAACGAGCTGTATCTATGTATCTATTGCTTGTATATTTCGTTTCAATACGTGAAATATCGATTGTGACGCTTCATTACACAATATATATTATATCAACATTACTCTCATTTCTTTGTAATTTATACCCACAGTTACGAACAGAACGTTAAATATTTATATTTATCATGACTCATCGAATAAGAGTTAGATTACTTGTCAAACGAATAGCAAGTTTGAAAGCTAAGCCATCGAAAAAACGGATAGACAAAACAGAATAAGCCAATTTTACAATATCACGAAGTAAAAGAAAACATCGCTTCGTTTACGTCTATAGAATTAAATTGAATTACTGATAGGAAGACGCAAATGAGATGAGTAAATGATATTTACACAACATTTCCATATTAGACCCATTCTTACATCGTTATATCATAATCTATTAGTTTGATCAAAATGAAACATTAAGCTAACTTTTTTCTTTGTTTACGTGACATGATATGACTTAATAGTCTTCTTCGATAACTAATGACACCTGTTTCATCCATTAGTAAAACAAATCTATCTAGTGGCAAACTCTTACTTGATGAAAATTCAATTACTGCGAATATAATCTAGGATTATCCATCTAATCAGCTTATAATAGATTGTGTAAGACAAAAAGTGGAAATATTCTACGTTCTGCTAATCTTATTATTCTTTGATAAAATGTTCGCCGATTTTTATATAACATGTCGTTCATCATCATCATCAATAAATATTTTTAATGCATGTTTGAAAAAAACGATGATGTACCGAAACGTTCTATACAACAACTGAATCGAGTTCCGACGAATGTTACTTGTTGATAGGGTAATATTTGTATGTCCCTAAATAAAATAATGCTAGTACAATGGCTGTAGTTCAAATTATCAATGAAATGAAGAATATGCAAGATTATTTGATTTTTTGTTAGGTAAAAAATGAAAAAAGAAATAGAAATGTTTTTTGAGACGCGTTCGTCAATAGGAGTCATTTTATATGAAACTATATTTGCCTTAAAATAATGATTTAGGATGACGTTTTCACAGCAAGTTGGCAAGTGTCAAGTTGCGAAATGCCTCTGTTACCCCACCAACTGACAAAAGAAATGTTTTGATTATAAAGCGCGAGATTCGAAATAATGAGCGTGAGATTAACACCGAGATCAAGAGCACCAGATGTTAAATAAATATGACGTTGTCTAAAACCATATTTGCCAAATGCATAATACACACTTATGCCAATGATAAGCCAAGTTACGAGTGCTCCTGCAGATACAATAGCCGGCATCCAGCCGATAGTGATCAAAATGAGAGGCCAATGAAGAAGTTTCAATGATCTGAAACGTGGATAACGTGATAAATACCAGCCCGGAATCGGTAATGCAGCACCCAATACAAAAGCCCAAAGCAAATGTTGATTAGCAGCATTTTTTCCATAGAAGAAACCAACGTAGTCGTTTAATAGATTCCAACCAATCTTAGTCTCATTAAATAAGGACCAAGCCGTGCCGATAGCACCATCTTTAATATACATATACCGAATGCCAATACTAAATGTACAGCATTCCAAACCAGCAAGACACTGCGCAGCAAAAAGTGGGCGTGGTCCAATTTTTAGATAGTGACCTAATTTCATATCTTGAACTAGAGTCAGTGTTTGTGCAAATAGAACATAGCTAAGTGCAATGAATGTATATGCTTTTCTTGCTGATGACTCAAAAGGCAGACCTTGAACAACGAGAACACATATGTAATATACTGATAAATTGTGCAGAAGTTGTCCAGTTATAGATGAAACATATCCAAAAGGAAGTACGAATACGGCACCAATAAATAGAGAGAACAATACCCAATACCAGTTTAACCAACCAGAGTGATCACAAACGACACAGGCTATAACCAGAGCTGGTGCAAACAATTCTAGATACCACCAATCGGGAACTTGAGGATATAATGACATAAGACGATTATGCATATCATTGCCCATGTTTGTGTTTGCTCTTGAACGTATTAGATTCCAAATCTTAACACCATAAAATAAGATTGTATGTACAAATACAGCGGAGACGCAAGCAAAAGAAGTGAATGCCGTTACGAGACTTATAGTTGTAAAATCTGCAGAAACAACTCCCCCAATGGCATTGCTTCTCAAATCTCGCACATTCGTTCCATAAACGATCGGTACAATTATCCAAACAATTAGAACAAATCCAATAGCAATGTTACCTAGAGCCCAACCTGGTAAAATAAGTGGTGATCCAAGATATTTTGTTATTTCATACCAGTCGAATGTGAGACCTCCACCACCTATTGCGAGACCACGAACAGCAGTTAATTGAGCGAGAGCATTACTATTAGGTTGAATCATACACATCCACGAAAAAGTGCGTAGTATTGGCATAATACACATTGGAAACCATTCGTAAATGAATGTTACAATAGCAATACCAAAGAAAAAGAATAATGGCTTTCGGGTTAAAGTTTTCCACCAGCTCCGCTTCTCTGTATTGTTATAAGAGGCTAATGGTCCGTCTCTCTTGTATTCGTGCAGAGTACGCAAGACTGCAATCAACGGCAAGTTTTGAGGCCATATAACGTCTGCTGGCCATACCAAAAATCGTCGAAGAATGCCTTTTAGAAAATTACAAGTAAACAATAACAAAATGGATTTAAATATTGTGAAGAATCTACGTCTTTATGCTTATGCACTCTCCTGAGGATGATGTCGTTTTTTCAGAGAAACAGTGAATCCTCGCAAAGTTCGGATAAAGTCAATCGAGATCTATCCGCCACTGAAATTTCTGCAGTATAGCAACTAAGAACAGTCATATTTTATGTGATGGATCTATCAGACACTATAAAAATAACAGCTGCTGTAATCATTGTCGTGAGATATTATATTCTAATATAAGAAATCACCAGTAGATCAAAATACTTGGATGCACTGATTTATGATATTTGAATTCTACTGAGAAACTTACCGAAGGATCTGAACACATATTAGGACTCAAAGTAGATATTTAAAGTACAAATATCTTATTTTATGTTTTACCTGCGAGACCAAAGCCAAGAAATTGAATTGATAGGACAAAGCCAAAATAATATGCGAAATTTAAATTGTCCAATTCAAGTACTTTTAATGTTGAAAGCGTTGCATAAGTAAATGTTGAGTAATACATCCATGCAACGTTTGTCATAATCATTACAAATCCATGTTCTTTCAAAGTAAATGGTTTAGCATAAGGCACAACTTTAGCCCAAAGTATTCCAAAAGGATATACCAACACAACAGTCAGAGCAGATGAAATGAAAGTTCCAGTGAGTTGAAAATTAGTCCACTGATGAAGATATGACATACCCAGAACAAAGACTAGTCCTATAACCACACTACGGACAGTACAACAAGCTTCATTGGGGTTGTCTTTGTTTGAGCAGGTTCCTCCAACTTCTTCGAATTGCGTCATCTCCGCTTCCGTATAGGCATTCAACAATGTAACATTTTTGTATTCATCCCCGTGTATTGTGATATTCTCCGATGCCATTACAATTCTATGCAATTTTGTAATCTTTTATTCGATTCTAAAACATTTTTAATCATATCTTTTGTTTAATCAGTATTCAACTACAATCTAACTCGACTTCATCTCTTTCACTTTCTCTACAATTTAAATACAGAACTAATCGAAAAAGTCTGACTAAGCTAGAAATAGTAGATTTTCTGTGGATTATAATTCAACATTAATAACAGAGCACAATGACGTGGTAATATTATAAGCTTATACTTTATCTCTAAACTTTACTCCTCTCTTACCAGTGAGATTCACGATTGAGGTATTCGAAAAAGGTGCTCTCAAGAAAATGTGGATGCGTCATCAAATTTCAGGATATATGATATTACTCTTAACTACAGGTCAGTTTATTTTAAATAGTAGTTTCGGTCACACAACATTCTCACTATGATGATCAATCTTCTAAAATCTTCTCGAACCATTAATACTTCACTATCCTTGTCATACCTTATTAGAAATATGATGTAGAAAAACAGCGCACTATCGTTCGTATTGTGAGTCTTGATAACTATCCACATGGATTTATTGAAGCATGACAAACGTTAATAAAAATGGCTTGTTTTTCTTCTATACATATTTTTCTTTTAGTTTACTGTTGAATATAATATAAACAAGTATGTTTTCGTGACGTGTGAGGCAAACATTTTCAAATAGTTCTATGATAGTTTCGGGAGCTGAAGTATCAATCTGCAAAAATTGAGAACTATAATACAGAACGGATTTAAAAAAATCGTTGGATCCGGTTAGAAAGTAACTAAGAAAAACTGACAGTATACTCCTCTTCCCTATTGACGAAGAGATCGCTCCACTTGTTTAAAAGCTTTTCAAGTGATTCTTTGCCAATATGTAGATGTCATAGTTCTGAGTTAGTGTATTTATCAAATATATTTCAAACACATCCCCACCGTGAATAATTGTATAAAATAGGAGATAATCGTATATGATATTTCAGATCATCATGATTGCCGACGTTGAAACAATTAACATTGCCAATCGCATAGATGCTCAAGGATATCTTTTCGATAATGAAAAGAAAAACTCGTTATCACCTAACGATGAATCAAATTCTATACAACCACCAGACACAACCAATGATTCTAATGAGAAGCACAAAGAGCCGTCGTGTTGGTATGTCACGTTTTGTTTTGTTCCAACAACATTCTATATATATATATATATATTACATAGGAAGAAGTTTCTTCCACCAATGAATTCATCGGAAATAATACTTTTAGGTGTGGCATTATTTGTATTTGTAGCGGTTACCATCGTCGTTTCAGCCGTCTATTTTACATGGAGAAAAACGGGTAAGATTTTTTTTCTTACTAGTTTTTTATATTCAATATATTGAAATTAATAATCTCCTAACAGTGGACTAAATTCAAATGTGTAGTTCCTCTAACTCAGCATTTTAGATGCTGATTATGTATGGTCAGTATTCAATGATACGTATTAATATGTGTTTTCTGTTGACTTTCAAATAATTTCTAGCTAAATTGATTTTATGACTGATCAACTATGAATAATTGCTACCATCTTAGAAAATCTGTGTGGCCATAAGTTTCGAAGCTGTAGACAACTGCTGAACGGCTCTCCCCTTGACTATACTTGCACTCTCATTTTGAAAAGCGAATTGGACAACACTGATGCTACGCTACAGTGTTCACTTTTCGATATGATTGTATTTGATATCTATTTTATTAATAATTATGATCGAAAATAAGAAGATTTGCCCTCATTCTACTCGTTTTATAAGACAGAATTCATGCGAGGGCCATTCCAATTTACTAGACAGCCGCCCCAAAAAAAATATTTTAGATTTTATTATGTTAAAAGATAGGTTTAGTCTAACCATTGTTAAATATACAATATCAAGTGGGGTGTATGAGTATGGGTTTGACATAGAGAATACTTACACCCACACCCTCAAGATACTTTATTTTTTAGGGTCAACTACATCTTCAACATCAGTTGTCAGTTCAGGAGGTTCGTGTATTGTTCGATAATAAGTTCATGCTCTGAATATTTTATTATATTATATAGCTTACGTCTTTAATCAATGTACCGAAAAATATCAGCCGCTGACAACATTGCTCTTTATTACAAATCAAGACATTTTTGATTACCGACAATATAGTTTTATATATCAAGCAAGTGTCATTTCGGCAAAAATTAATATTTTATTTGGTTTTCAACATCAATCAGATTTCTGGGGATTGGATGATGTTGTCGTCACAGATATGTACACAAATGATGGGGTCGCATTGAATTCAGATGGTTCTTTTGAATTAAATAACTTGACTAAATCATACACCCAATGTAATCTAAATAGCGGAACAGTTTTAGCTCAGATTCTTGGTGATTTTCCGCATTTAGGAGATTGTTACTATAGTGATGGATCACCAGATGGTATGATCTATTTGATTCAAACATTTCCAATTGTCGGTGGTCGAAACTATAACGTAAGCTTTTGGCTACAAAATAATGGTGCCCAGCCGAACCTGGCCGTTGCTTTCATCAGTTCTCAAGCTATTTACTAGAATTGAATCAAAATTTATGACATGTAATCTTGATTTTATTCAAATACTATCGTATAAAAACATTTTTTTGAAATAAAAAATTTTAGAAATTAAAATGATAAGTATATCTATTTCATCAACTAGAATATTTTGCAATCATACTCATAGCACGCTTTATATAAAAAAATATTTTTATACGTGAGTGCCTTTTTCTCTGATTCACAACTGAACGTGTATCATTACCGATTCCAAGATACAAGTATGATATCCGACTTTGATGAAAATCAATTCAAAAAATGATCGTTGAATATCAGGCACAGTTTCCGAGTCAAGAATCTGTCTGTCTCATTTTATTCATTGATTAGAAAAAGTTAGGAGGGCGATTGGAAAGAGATAAAAAAAAGTTATGGATACGAACACATTCTTGAAGATTAAATAGAAGAGTTATTGTCTTTTTTTCGAATCTATTTAAATAGTCTTTCATCTTTCTTCAAACGATTAATTAATATGAAAAAGAATAAGGTGCGAATATTAATTTATTGTTGGCCATACGTAATTTCTTCCATTCATCATTGAGCACGTTAAATTTGCAACGAGTCCAGAAAAAATTGGTTGATTTTGAGGATCAATTGGACTTGTGCCCAATTTAAAGAATGTATAGGATACTTGACCAGTGCATTTCGAACTATCGTTGCTTGGGAAATAAAGATAGTATTCATGAAGAAAAGAGCGATCACGAGTTGTCATAACTGCAATATTTTGACTTTTATATGCATATGCAAATCCAGATAAATGAAGAGTAGTTCCATTAACACATTCATAATAACCAACAATAGTGCTAAACTGAATGTCTATACCCATTTCAGCGGTATTTAGTCCATTCGCTATATTGTTTATTGCATAGAAGAAACCATAGGGTAATATTGTCAATATACTATAAGCGGGTTCATAGTTAGGAAACATACTCGTTACTTGATAAATTTTATTTTCGTAGGATGCACACTGATTCATAACTTTGCCAATAAATACATTTAATAATAAGAACAAGAATACAACAAGAGTTTTTTTCTTCATAATTATCATATTCATCTTTGTACCAGAAGTCTATATTCTTTCGTATCTAAAAAAATGACGTCGTCATTCCATGGAGTGAGTAGATGACAACTTTCTATCGTATATAAGAAAATGAGAGACAGAGAGAGATAGTGGAAGCGGGGATATAAAAAAACGAGCAAAATAGTAGATAAGGAGGCATTTTCTTTATTCGTAACGTTATATAAGAAAGTTTAATATAACTCCTAATATCTCGTAACAGTCGTATGTGATTTGTATGTCTAGTCAATGTAAAAATAATTTAGACTTCTCATAAATAAAGAACACTGAGACTAGCTATTTGGTAGCTTTCTTCTTGTCAATGTCACTGTCCTGCTTAAAAACTACGATTAAGAATCATCGAATTTGCTCATATTATTCTATAGCTCACATTTCGACACTTCCACGGGATATGAGAAATTAAAGATCTTTTACAAAAATGGTTCATTATGTACTGGATATTGCTTTATTCGTAATTTAATATCAGTTCTTAAATACTATAAGTGTAATAAATAACTGGGCCCGACAAATATGTCATTTTACTACAGCAGTATCACATAAACTCAGTTCAATTCGTAGATTATGAATGTTTCTATTTATCTCAAAAGAATGTACAGAATTCTTCGCTATTTTTATTGATACTCGGTGTTTTAAATCTTTGTTTTATAAAAGATCAAGAAGATTTTCCAATGTACGTTATACTGAAAAGAACACTGTTAAATGATTAAGAGTAGTAGTTCTCAATCAGTTGAACCAAACTTACAAAGCTATAGGGTATTGAGCCATATTCATAGATGTGTCCGTTGAAACAACTTATGAAATAAAAAGCGTTATATATTTTTGTTATTTTAGCCAAATAAATCATAAAATACTCACTCAATGACGATTATTTTGTAGAAGAAAGTGATGTAGCGTTTAGCTGTATCTTATTAAAATTTTGCTCCTTTGTATAGTTTGCATTTTTTTATATTCTTTCTTAAGGTAATATGTGCATAGATTGGATAGAACGATTCGGTTGAATGCCCACTCAACCATACTTAATTATTCAAATCAAAATCGAAAGAGAATAATAAGAAATAACTGAAACCAACGACTATAGAATGAAGTTAATACAAACCAAATACAAAATATAATAGTTGTTTTCTGATGACATGGTTATCATCTTCGTTTAACTTTTCATGTGTTATTTTGCATTATTTTGTTGTTTTTAACTAACTTAAATAGGCAACTTTTTGACAGAAGAAAACATTTTTTCGTATAATTTAAACTAAATCTCTGCCCTGGTTAAAGAATCCTGAGTCTTCTATTTTGATCTGTCAAACTTTTCGAAATCTTTGACCATTTTTGTTGAGAAAACGCAAAGTTGTTATGCAATGATATTTGTGAAATTATTAATTTGACAATCTCCACCAGTTTACACGTTTCGCATCGTATTTTTATTATTTGCTTTGCACTCAGATGATCTGAATTGAATAAATTAACAATAAAAGCTGCTAGTGTTTTTAAAAAATATTATTAATTATGAAAATACAACTCAAATCTTGTTGAGGAAACAAATCACTGTCAAAAATTTCTTTTTAGCCCGATCGTGTCATAGAAATGTGGTTCATTTTAACACAATATACTAATGAATAGAAGCAGCACACAAAGAAATCTGGTCATCTCAAAACTTTCTCTGCGAGCGTTGATATATAAAGTCTTCTTCGAAAATTTCAAGAGATAGAAATCATGTACACTCTTCAATTATGCATCGTATTGGCATGTTTTATAAGATTATTTACTTAAGTCAATCAAATAATTCATATCTTTGATGATTCTGTCTCTCATATGTCTAGTACTTTGCGTTTTATCGATTAATAGAATATTTTTCTTTTAAGAACGTAAGAATTTTTGTATTCGATAGTTGCCAGAATCTGCAACATATAAACTAAATTGATTGTCGACTACTATTGAATGAGGAAAGTCAAGTAGGTTTGGATCTACACCAGGTTTTGAAGTTACACCAGCAACTGTCGTACCGTTTGTTTGACCAGAAATAAAGAATTGTATACGATGATTATACGTATCAGCCACGTACAAATTACCCAAACGATCGAGAAATACATCTGATGGATAATAAAGTAATGTTGATGTAGTACCTAATTCTCCATTTATGCTACCAGCGAGAAGAGTCCAATGATCAGATCCTAATATCCAACGAACAATATTATTACAAGCAAAATTAGTAATTATCAGGCTATTAGATGTTGAATCAAAATAAAGACCACGAGGAAGAAACAACTGCGTTGTGCCTTTTCCAGGCCCATTACCTCCGGCAACTACAGTACCATTCATTAAGCCGGACTGATAACGCATTATACGATTGTTGTAACTATCCGAAACATAAAATGTATTCGATTTTGAATCAGTCGCGATACCCCACGGAGTATTCAATTCATTACTGAGCGTACCAGCAACACCTGAAATCATAGTGATAAATATATATTCCTAACGTAGAAGTTCAACATATATTCTTCAGCGTTTTCCAATATTTGTGGTATTTATCCAATTTATTTAGTTACTTGAATTGATTCGATCGAAATACATTTAGGCAAATGAAATTTTCCTCTTTTATATTTTTTTGTTTTGTCGGGTGAGTAGATATCAAATCTGAATAGTTATCCTACCTGTACCGGCGACTGTTGTGCCAGCCATACCACCATCAGACCAAAGTTGAACTCTGTGATTTTCACTATCCGTGACATAAATATTGCCATTCAAATCAACAGTGACTTTGGTAGGAAAATTCAAAGTAGCCATAGTAGAACCTGTTGTTCCATTCATCTGGCCAGCGACTGTCTTAGATCTCCGTGCGTACATGGCCCATTTCTGAATACGATTATTTTGGTAATCAGAAACATAAATTCCATTGGATGAATCCAATGCTAAACCAGTACAGAAAGAAAGACGTTTGTCATCATTATTCTGTTCATCTGAAATACCAGCGACAGTTGTGGCCTTCAGCATCCATCGCAGCGACGATACATTAACTTTCAAAAAACGTAAAAGACTTAATATTTACTAAAAACAAATCGACTTCCACATTTCATTTAGTTCAATAGTTTAACAATTCAAAATTTAATTTATTCATCAAGAGTCTTGCATAATGTGTTTACAAATATGTGACACATGATTGAGATTTCTCGCTTTGCTATTTATAAAAAGTGTCCTATGATTTGGAATAAATAACAAGTTTTATAGAACCTTCTTGAGGCTTTAAAATATAGTTCTGCACGATGGAAAGTGGTTCCGACGTTTTCTATGAAATACTCTATCTATTGTGAATCGACAGTTCTTAGGATTAATGATTAGTGGAAAACCGTACCACGATGAAACCCTTTGCTTTTTTTTGAAAGAACTTCTAGTATTATAGAAAACTATGATACAGACGGAATCCTCAATCTCGAAAAGCTTCGATAAAATTTTAATAAATATTTTTAGTTTAGAAAACTAGTTGAGAGACTGTCATCTTATTTCTAATCTTATCTCGTCTATCCATTGTTTCACCGCTTCAAATGGACTATCGTCAAGAGATGAAGTCAAATCATAAACAACAAGAGAAAACTTACTCGCCGTCGATCCTGAACTGTTCGTTGTTGTTGTATTTGTATTTTCTAAAGAGATAAAAGAAAATTTCTAGATCCTACGTATTGAAAAAGCTTTTGGGATAGTCGATATGTCATTCATTTTCAATTTGAATACAGAAAAGACAAATGAAACGTAGTCACACGATAAAATACTTTTTATCACGTTGAGTTTAATATAAAAAACTTGATCTAATTATAAAATTGAAAAGTTAGGTTTGTCAATCTTGCGGGACTACTTATTACGTTCCATATACCAATCGAAACCTAGAAAAATTGAAAAAGTACTTATCTTGAGGGTTGGGTGAGGGTGTGGGTGTGCATTATAAGAAGGTACCACCCACACCCACATTCGTCTGATAGAGCTCTCTTTTTTGAGTCAACGAAAGCAGTGACAGCGTTGAATCCATGCTCTGTACAATTATGTTTGTATATAGGTAACTCATACTACTTATTTCTCTATATATTACATATCATTCTGTAGCTGGTGAAATTCTCTATCGAACGGTATATAATAAGTGGGATTTTATTTAATGTTGGTAAGAAAGTTTCTTTAGAAAATGAGTATTTTTACAATAACCCAGGAAGGGCTTGTCTTCGAACTCGACTGAGATGTTGATGAGACTAAATTGTGTAAAAAATTTCGCCACAATCTAACTCTGCTTTCGAAAGTAATCGAGTAAAATGTAAGTGTTACTGATGCACTTTTAATTTGTGATTTCTAACGTAAAGTACTCATTTATCAATTGTATCTTTCATTAGTGACGTACATGGTGAACTAGATTGTGTCTAAAATGCATTCACCTCTATTGAATAATTTAACAATTCTCCGCCATATTTCTGTATCCTATTTAACAGCCCTTATCATTAGAGAATGTATTTTTAAAGATTAAAGCGTGTTATCGTTATGCAGATCATTACATGCTATGAACACCATAAATTAGTCGAAACATGATTGAAGATAGCTAGATCTACTTGAACATTACAAAAACAAGCGTCAATACACTAAAATGTCATTCTTCACAGGTAGCGCTATCGAGACAATGTAAAATCATATAAGATATACTAGGAGAAAACATCGTTTTTGTCTTTATACATTCTCTTCTGCATCGAACACCACAGTTAAAATCAATTTTTAATTCAAAAGCTATTAGTACATTTTTCTGTGAGATATGCATGATGGATAGTTTCGATTTTTTCTCCTTTTAAATATTATAAACTAATCATACTTGGTTCAGTCAAACAAACGATTGGTATAGCGACAGCAATTGCTACAATTATGAATACTCCATATCCAATAATTGCCTTGATATCTATCGGCATTGCTATGAGATTAGATCGTCTAACGAGATAGATTAAAATAGACATTAAAATTAAAAGAGAAAATGCTCACAAAGATCTTGAACCTTTTGTTTTCGATTTGAAATTATCATTACTAGTAAGAGAAATTACAGGAGTCAGTTGATTCAAACCAAGTTTTGATATTGCCTGTGATCCATCAAACGAACGTTTTCTAATAACTGAATCTTCAGAGGAATTTTGATCGTTAGGATTGAGATTCATCATAATCTAAAACAGAAAATAATGTTAATATTATGCATGCTGCTATAGATACAAATGTACAAAATTTTCATGCTTACTTATTATATCAGCGAAGAAACTATTTTATAAATAATTGTTTTTAATCGAATAAAACATAATATACGAGGGAATCAAGTAAACTATCAACTCCAAAGTTATTCATACCTTATCTAAATAAAATATGAAAATATCACTACTGTTGTTTTCTGTGTATCTCATAAAGAAACAAAAAATAATATCAGTTATTCGCATTTTCTTTCTGCTTCTCTTTCATATGCGCTCCTTACTATAGTTTCGTCTCATCTTCGTATGATACAAGTATACATAGTCATGCATGGTTACCGCCTTTACAAAAGCACACATGTATACATACTAAGATAAATCAGTGATTATTTTTTCTTTTCCTTCTTTTTGAGACTGTTTATGTTAAAATACTTTACTAACGATTTTCATCTTGATTTCTATATAGTTTCAATGATCATGGATAGTTTCTAATAAACTTTTCTGTTTCTTCGAATTAAACATTTAGAAGATTCAACAAGAAATGTCATTTGATTACAAAGGATATGAGATTGAAAGAATGAATAACCAATCGCATCTAGCTCAAATCTCTTTTAATTGAAGTACATGCGAAAATCTTAGATTTTATCCGAAAGCTATGTGTAATGCAAAAAGTTTATGAGACAGCATGGGATGGGATATTCCATCGGATATATGATTGCTTTTTTTTGAAAAAACTATTATTCTGCATAGAGGTCGCAATTGACAATCGGTAGACATAGTTATTATATTCGTCGCTTTTTTTGTATTCATTAATAATTCTTATTCCAAACATTATCAAACAAATAAATAAAGGACTGATAAAATTAGAAAAATAGAGAAAGCAATCTAAATGATTTTAGATCAATATTATGAAATATCGGGGGGGGGGGGGGGGGGGGGAAAAAAAAAAAAAAAATCCCCCAAAAAAAAAGAAAAAAAAAAAACAAAAAAAAAAAGAAAAACAAAACAGGGGAGGGGGAGGGGGGGGGGGGGGGGGGGGGGGGGGGGGGGAAGAGAGAAATCAGAAAGAAAGTCTCCCGAAATCAGAGAGAAATGATCTACCGATCATAGACGTAATACGCACACCTTCAAGATGGACAGACGTACCGATTCTATAGTGTACTCATTTTTCGAGTACACATTTGCATAAAAGCATTTTCACATATTTAGGGCCTACATAGATTTAAACATAGTGAATATTTAGTCAGTGATGATCTATTATTAATTGAATTTCTGTTTTTTTTGTAAAGTAGTTTCGATAAATAATACTGAGGAATATAGTTTGATATTCGTCATATTCATATAGATTAGTATAAATATTGTTTTAATAACGTGAATATCGTTGTATTCGATTATTGAACGTATCTGCAATGTACAAATTGAGCTGATCATCCAGAGCGAGTGAATAAGGATTATATAGTAAGCTATGTGTATTGCCTTGGGTTCCAGTTGAACCAGCAATTGTGGTACCATTCATTTGACCTTTAATGAAAAGTTGTACGCGCTGATTACCTGTATCAGCCACATATAAATTCTTCATATAGTCAAATACCATATCGTATGGACCATTGAGTAATGTTGATGTACTACCAATCACTCCATTAAAGTCACCGGCAAGAATAGTCCAATGATCATCTCCTAACATCCACTGAACAATATTATTCCCACCCCAATTAGCAATGACAATGCTGTTTGTTGATAAGTCAAAATAGAGACCTGTAGGATAAAACAACTGTTTATTAGTTGTTCCTTGACCATTTCCACCAGCAACCAAAGTACCATTCGTTTCACCCAATTTATATTTCATCACACGGTTATTATAACAATCTGCTATGTAAATTATACTTGCATTGTAGTCAAGGGCAATACCCCATGGATTATTCAATTGATCAGCGCCAATGCCAGCAACTCCTATCAAAATAATTATACAGAACCTTTTTTGGAGAGCTCAGTAAGACTCGTTTTTTTTTCAAAGAATATTATTTAGGAAAAATCTCATTTTAACAACAGCTTTCTCGAGTACTTTTTCATGCACTATTATCAACGGAGCTATTAACATAAATATTACTAGGTTTTAACTCTACTTTGAAAAGTATACTGACTTCGATTTGAGCTATTAAAAAACTGATGTGTGATCGTGGATAATCAGTAAATAGTTGACATACTGGATGGAATACAGAAAGAAAAATAAACATAGGTACCATTCACTACGTATGACCACTATTATTTGTCAAGGAAGAACATAGAAAAATGCCTAGGAATTTTTTTTCTATTGTTATCTAATGTAATATCAAGCAAAGACTATTGTGAAAATTGATTTTTCTAACGAATACGTACGTTGCTTTCGAGAGCTTTACCTTTTTCATCGACAAACTCTTTTTAAAAGAACCGAAATCTTCTCTCCTATCATAATTTCATAGATTCAGTATGAGATATTATTCGATTATTTAGCTATGGCGTACCTGTACCGGCGATGGTTTGACCAGAAGAGGCGCCTTTAGCCCAAAGTTGAACTCGAAAGTTATATCGATCTGATACATAGATATTGTCATTTGGATCAAGAACGAAATAAGCAGGATAGTGAAAAAGATTCGCAGCGTTGCCTATTGATGCATCTGCTTGGCCAGCTACTGTCGTGCCGTTTGTAGCGTCAATTTGCCATTTTTGAACTCGATTATTTTGATAATCAGCGATATAAAGTGTATTGGGTGACTCGAATTTTAAACCAAGCGGTTTAGAAACTTGATCTGCAGACGCACCGGCCTCACCTGAAATCCCGATTATTGTCCTTGCCTTTGTGTTCCAACGAAGAGTAATACCACTACCTGAAAAAAACGATGTGATCGCCTTTATTGTAACAATAATATCTACTAAAATACTTGGTTCCTCATAGTTTGTTGACACTGTATCAGATAATTTTCTATTTTCTTGTTAGAAAACTAGCTCAGAGTTGGATGATATCAGTTCAATCATAATGAATCTCAATTTCTATGGGTTCTAGAGGGAGAGAGAGTCAAAATCGAACATACTTGTTGCAATTTCTTTGCTCTTGAAAGAATATAATATAGGTACGCCGATGACTGTTACTAAAACTGTTAAAAGTGCAAGTCCAATCCCAACAATGGTAGAGAATTCTAATGAAAAGAAATAATTTTTTCTAAAAAAAACAATATAAACTGTCATTCTAGTTGAAATCATAAGAACATACACTGATGTTGGAGCCGTAGCTATCCATTTTAAATGATTTATGCGATCAGAGGGTACAGGTTGATTCTGTAGATTCGAATGTTCATTCGCATCAACCGAAAAGGTTGTTTGAAGAACTGAATGTTCAACCAACTGAATATCATTATTCGACGAAGCCATTTAAGCCAAATAAAGATACTGTAGCACGAAAAGTATAAATAAATCTAAAAAGGAGAAAATCAATACCAATAACCTTTTATATACTTACCTAAATTAGTTAATACATAAGACTGTTCATGCTATTAATAGGCATAATGCCATAAACTATGTCAATGATAGAAAAACAAGGAGAAACCAACTAATGAAAGTATTTGCTTTTGCTTCTTCAACAAGAAACTGAAATAGAAAATTCGTGACAAAATGAAAAAACTGTCGAATCACTTCCTTCTGCCTAGAATTATAAGCATTTTTACTGAAATTTTAGTCTATGGCATGGTATATATCAATAAATCAAATAACGGTATTTCGGGTGAAATCCATAGGCTAAAATTTCAGTAAAATGCCTATAATTCTGGACAGAGGGCCTCGGGGCACTTATTCTTTTAGGGGTTTTTCATACCTCAATGGAATCTATCGTTTTTCTAAAAACACTGAATACTAACGTTGAAAAGTTTTTCGATCGAAGCGTTAAGGAATTAATTAAAAACTTGAAAGATTGTTATTATTGATATTTTAATGATGAAGGATCAGAAATAAATGATAGGTGACACTTGTTAGTTATTAATATGATTGTTAGTTCCATTAAATAAACATAGAATTAATTTTGGAATAGTTAATTATTATTAATGAGAAGCAATGTTGATTTATCGTTTTTCTGTTGGCCATGTATAATGTCCAGCTCCAACCAACTGACATACAACACCAGCAGTTGGTCCAAAATAATTTGGAATGTTCTTTGGATCAAAGGGATTTGTGCCAGTTAAGTAAAATTTATATCTTAATTGTCCAACACAATTTTTATTATCATTGTTAGCAAAATAAAAGAAATAATCATGAAAAGCAAAATGTCCATTACTTGTCAAAACTGCAACTTCATCACTTTTGTAAATGTAACCAAAGTCAGTTATATGAACAGTAGTTGAATTTAAACATTCATAAAAACCAATATGAGGAGCAAATTGAAGATTAACACCTAATGCATCTGCGTTTAGCCCATTAGCTATGTCACTTATCTCATAGAGAACACCATTTGGCAGGAACATCATGGTAAAATAAAATGGTTGATAAGTTGCGAACGTGGCTTGCACTTGATAAATATTATTTTGGAAAGCTTCACAGTCGCCATTGATATCTTGAATCACGATACTGAATAACAAGAACGATAAAATAATCATGTTTGCCCGCATAATGACGCTATTAAGAATAATATTTATATAAAACAAAAATAGAAGAAAGAAATTTACTGAAAAATAAAATACTATTTCATACATAAAACTTTATATAAAAGTTTGTAAACGATACACATGTTAAAAACCAACTCATACGATCGTAATACTGAGACAGATGATACTCTCAAGTAGAAATTCTGCGTCAAATGGTATGTCTTGACATATTTTCTGAAAAATTTTATTGGTTAGAAAACTCAAAATACGATTTTTGAAAAAACTAAAACTTGATTTTGGATGAGAAAATCTGATTTTTTTACAAAACAGATGTCGGTCTCGTAATCAGCGAATTGTCACTTGTATTAAATAAAAACATAATAATAACTTAAATTAAGAGCAAATTAGAGTGAATGAACCAAAACGGTTATAGATGTATTGCTTTTGATTCAATTCTCAATTAAAATTAAACGAGATCAGTTATTAATAAATGAACCGATATCACAGATATTTTGTGATTTGCTAATATTGGTTCGAGTCGTTTTTAGTAGGATCATTCAACTATATTCAGCTGGAATTGTAAGAAAGATTGAGGAGAATAGTTTGCCTGTAAAATCTTTTAATACGAAATCAAGAAGAAAATCTAGTATGTATCCGATGGAAAGGCTTTTAAATTACAGCGAATGAGAGGGGAAACAATGAGATATATTGATTAATTTCAATAACAAAATATATTCTAAAGTAACGATGCCCTTCCATTCTAAACTGAAAAAAGATGATTTCTATGAGAGCGATTCAATACTTCTTTCTAATTACAAGAAAAGCTTGTTCTCGTATTTTTAGTCTCAACAATAGATTTTTATGAAAAGTATGCTGTCGTGAACAGTCTTAGAGTTATTTTTGAGTATTTATGCAATGTTTATAAGGTAAATATACAATTATTTAAGTACCAGGTGGCCAAACATAATGTCTCCCGCTTAAGAGTTCACATGTCAAATTTCGAATTGGATATGAATAGATAGGCTGAGTTTGATTTTCGAATGGATCTGAGCCAGTCGGATAAAATGCGGCGTTTAATTGACCAGTACACGTTGTATAGTTAGGAGGTGCAAAATAAAGATTATAATCCTGAATAATTAGAGCTCCATTGTTTGTGAAAACGGAGAGTTCACTATTTTTAAAAATATAACCAAAATCAGTTAAATGAACATAACTTGCATTTGGACATTGATAGTAACCAGTACGTGTTCCAAACACAAGATGTGAACCAAGTTCAGCTGTACTTTGACCATTAGAAATGTTCGTTTCCTCATTGAATATACCATTCGATAATAAAGTAAGAAATATATAATATGGCTTATAATTAGGAAATTGAGTTGTTACTTGATAAATATTATTTTCGTAGACATCACATTGACTGATACTCTCGTCAATATATATATGCAGTATTAATAGGAAGAAAACAATTGACTTTTTCTTTGTAATCAGCATCATAGTGATCTCATTTATATGAAATAAAACAAACAAATACATCTCATGAAAATCAAAATATTACAGATATTTTTTCGAATATTATCAAAACTGAGATTAAGTTTACCCATCTCGACTATTACTCGTAGAATCGAAGCTATTTTATGAACATTAGTGGTAACCATCAAAAGCGACAAAATTATACAGAAAAAAGACTTCGAAAATGCTGTTTCCAGGGCTCTATTTGAAATTAGCACAAAAAACTGAGTAGACTATGTTTCAAGTATCATCCTTGCATTCGTGGGAGACAAGTGCAAATGGGTGAAAAGTTCATACAACATAAAGCGAAAATAATCTAAGCAAGTATAAGACTGTTTCAGAGGCTTTCATTTTTCACTGGCCAATTTAAAAATTGATCATCACTGGCAATACAACACAATTTTTATACGCATGCATATATATTCTGTCATATTTCTCAAAAATATCAGTTTAAACAAGCGATGTAAATGCTAGATATATTACAGCAACAGATACAAGTCTCGATGTTAAAAAGCGAATTATATAGAAAATAATATCGTACCTTTTAAGGTATATGTGGCTTCCAATCTGTATTATCGTAGTCTTGTGCTCTGTTTTTGTATGTTTTCAAACAATATGAGTATGATAGCACAGTATTAAATTTCTAACCTCTTCACATTTCAATTACAAACGGTACACACTACCGTACTGCTGCTTTCAAACACTTATGCAGAACTTACTCATATGAAAAAAGAATCAGCGAATATTTAATCGTAGAAATACTACTAACATTGACCGAGTTGGTTAGTCATGAGAGCATCTCGGTAAGTTGTAAAAACGCCGAAAAATACAAATCAAAGTGAAATATGCCAAAAAAAAATGAAAAGTACGACAATGAGAAATCAACTGAGAATGCATGTATAATGGAAAAGAGAACATAAATAATCGCTAGTGCCGTTTCAATGTAATACTTTATGACTTATTTACAAATAAAAAGATAAATAAACATAGGTAAATGTGATTTTAGAATAGCATTGAGCGATATCTTAGTTGCTATTCTATTTTACGACTGGTACTAGCGTTTTTTGAAGTTAGAAATCATCATCTCGAGATATAGAAAAAAATGAAAAATGTATTTCTATTTCATAATATTCGCATTTTATGCGCTTCAATATTATACAAAACGAGAAAATAAATTTCATTTACCTGCACATAGCCTTCTGTCGTATAATGTATTAGTAGATATGAGAATATTATAAACGCTACTAGCTCTTCTTTGGTTACATATTCATGCTTGATTGAGTTTTTCTTTTTCGTTTATATAAAAAATCCATACGTGGAGCAGGTAAGGTCCACTATATTTTGTATATGATTTTATTAAGTTACCATGTATGTTAATATCATGTTGTAGCTTAATCAGTGTGTTAAGGCTCACAAACATTTCTATGATACGAAAAACGGAAACGAACAATGTGTGAAGGGTGTGGGTTCGGAAGTAACATGGTAGTAGTGAAGACTATGATAAAGATTTATACTCGCACCCATACCCTAGATATGACATTATATTGATGCCTTCTTCTGTCTCATACTTCATAACATCGGATAAGTATGAACTTAACGATGATTGTCAAACAATTCTGTCTATTTCGAATCTAATGCCTCTGATCTACAGTCATATCCTTACCTATAGTCAAAACTATTCGATTTAAAGTTAATATCAAACAAAGTGTATGAATAGTGTATGACGATTCGTCTTCAATAAGGCAGTTAGCACTATATCACTTATGACTCACCTATGGAAAATAAATCCATAGTTCATCATTAGAAATGCTAGAACGCAACTAACATGTTCGAATAAATGTTCACTACATTTTTAAAACAGATAAAACATGATTAGCTCATGCAATAATCAAGATATCTAAATATTTTTTCGAAAAAAGAAATCAAGAAAATTGGAAACAAATTGTCATAAAGAGTCGAACTTGATATAAATAATAATGGCAACTATTGTCTATATTTCAGAAAATAAAATTAAAAATATCTCTTTATCTTCATATTTATATTTAATGTTCTTAGATTTTTTAGTCAAACTCAAGTAAAATTAAACAAAGTATCGTCAATTAGCGTCATCTATAGTGGTAGAAATTCATATAAGAGAACAACATACTATTTCTAGCGATAGAAATTTCTTTTATGCAGACACGAATTTTGAAATCTTATTTCAGCATTCTTCATCAAACAATTTTCTTATAGAGTGGTCATCATTTTATTCTCTATGGATGTATTGGTTCACGATGAAGAAAGAAAAAGATACGCACACTATGTTAAGAATAAATGTGTG